TATTATTAGTAAATAATATTTCCAAATTTCAGGAAATTTTCTCCGGCATAATCCTGAAATTAATTATAGCAGTCTGATGACATACCATCACGAAATTTAATGCACATATTTTTTCCTTATGTATGCTGCGAAATAAATATAAAATACCTCAATTTATTAAAATAGATTTCTTTCTTCCGTTTAGCTGCAGAATGTCTGAAAAAAAAAAAAAAAAAAAAAAAAAAAAAAAAAGCCTTATTTTGTTCCAGATTGGGAAGATTCTAATCTCAATCTTCAGTGGAGAAAACAACAACTATTATAATTATATTTTGTGTTTCAAGTGTTAAGGTGCCTTTTAAGAACATACCTCACGCAAATTAAATTTACCTAAAATCTAACCTAACTATTTAGCATTGCGTTGTGATTTATAAGGACCGGATTAGCCTCGTGTGTTGAACTGGTGATGATCATGAGTAATAATTAAATAAAACATACATTTGTTATCCAATGTATATATCTTAAATTTTATTAAGTGGAAAACTAAACAAAATTATCAAACAAAGTATACCAAGAATAATTAAGAATAAATGTCCTCTGGGATTTATTGAATAATTAAGTGAATTTGCTACACAATACAAGTAATACCATAATTAATTTACCTCTTAGCACAGCCAACGTACATTACGCAGATAGACTGGAATTTTCTTGAAACACACCTGGAAAACCTGGAAAAGTCAGGGAATTTCATTCTCCTGTTTGAGTGGCAACCCTGTTTAAACCAATAGAAAGAATGTTTATTTGGTCCTTGCAAAATTTAATACTGAAAAGCTGCAGTTTCTTTACACATTCTGCTTAAGGTTATTGTTATTTCTGACAGAAAGAATTACAAACAAACAGTAGTGATCCTGATGAATTTTGATAGAAGTTTTATGCATAAATTTCTCACCTGATAACATGACGCGCATACGCCCACTGCCGTTAAATTTTTCACACTAACAGCAAAAGCAGATGAAATGTTTTATCTCACAAAATGCCAAAAATGATTCACTTGCGATCACTTTATTGTCGTATTTTACATTTACATGTAATATACTACGCATTTGTGTGTATTTAGGTACAGAAAATTTATTCTACTTGTAAAATTCAGTATTTTCATGCGTAAAATGTATACCGTATGTACAAGCTTTTTAAATCCCATTATCCATCTGTCACATTGTGTTGCAACAAGTTATGAAACTCAAGCTAGGGCACTCTGACACTGTTATGTTTTGCACTTAATATGTAATATATTATTACCACGTTGATCTTAAACAATGTCTAGTCTCAGCCAAGAAGAGGTTAAGCCATTCGGTTAAATTTCAATTTGGCAACCTGCATTGGTAATTTGCGCAAGTGCTTTTGGCTTTTGACGTAAAAATTGGCAAATTTCCACCACTGCATGATAGACATTAGACAGATCTCGTATTGGAATGAAGTTGATCACCATACGTTTTTGATGTTAAAGTATTGTTACCGAAATCTTTTTTAAATTTTTGGACTGTTATGGTAGACTACTATGCATATTTCATCTACTTCGCTTTGCAGGTCTGCCACTGCTTGAAGCATAAGGTCTTTATTTTATAGAGCACGGGGGTTAGGTATACCCACTTGATTTAACTTACTGTAAAATTTAATTGTTCTTAAATCGCTTAACAGGCTTAGAAACTGAACGACTGAAAAGCAATAAATTCGTTTCTTAATAATTTAAATCTTCATTTTATTTTTTAGTACTAAGCGACACAAATTCTAAATATATTTAATGTACAATATGTAAAACTGATATTTTTTATGAATTTTTGTAGCTTTATTTTAAATTAACAGTAGGTGTTTCTAACCCCGTATATTATACCTGTACAAATACTTCATACCTGTAAAAAATAGTTTGGTTTTTACAAGTAGCAATAAATTTCATATTATTTCTGGGTGCTTCGTAATTTTTAAAATATTGGTTTAATAAAGTTAGCTTACTTGATTTTGTCTGGTCGTTAACTAGTTACCTTTCTTAAACAGTTTGAGATTCCTAAAGTAAATCAACAATCTTATAATTCCCTAGACTGGTTAAATTGTTTCTGAACTGATTTAGAGAAAGTTTTAATTGCACAAGAACATTCCAGCTATTACTCCTACAATTTTTCTTTTAGGGAAATAAAGATACGAAAAGAACTCATAGTATATAACTGCTAATTTGCAGAATAGTACAGTGTGATAAAAGCCTTAAATTAAGCCTTAATTAAATTAAGCCTTAATTAAGTTTTATTAGAATTAAGCTGCTCTTAAGAAATATAAAAAAGATGAATTTTTATCATGTAATTCTTTTTTTCTGGTTAAGAAATTTATATGGAATTTGCGTGTTAAGACGAGAATTTGTTCTTTTCAACTTGATGCTGAAATTCATGGACAGAGGTCGTGGAATTTTTGAAAAAAGTGGAACTCTTACATATACTATGGAACTCTTTCATATACTATACTCAATTCATATACTGTGATTATGTTCTAAAAAAGTTTCTACTGTGAGAAACATTATGAATTTAATATTAATTACCCTTTTGTGATCGGTTTTTACAAACGCTTTTTCAGTATATGTTAAGTTTCCACTGGAAATCAGCGGACTTCTTCGTGTCAGAATTTATTATGAAGTGTTCCTTAAATTTAAGCGAGTAGTACACTATCTAACAATAAAAATGTTTGGGCATCCAATGTAAATTCCGAAGTCTGCGGTCCAGTCCTGATATACGTCACCACTTCCACCTTTAAATATCATGTAGGAAACAACACTGGCATTAGTGGCATGGAAGATGCCCCGAAGTGCAGAGTTATTTGATTTCGAGAAGGTGTTATCGTCGGGTATCACAAAAATGACCGAATCTTAAGGGGCATATCTAGTGAGCTGAATTACCTAAATTTGACGCTGGCCTATTTGATTCAGAAGTGTAAGGTGAGCGGTGATTATCGGAATGTGCTTCGAGTCGGTAGACCTGCGAAATTGGGAGATAGGGATTGACGGGTACTGTCCAGACAAATTCGGAAGAACCGCACCCAACCGATGACCCACACACTCCAGGAGCTTCAACAGGCAACTAGGAGTGCTGTTTTGGTGAATATAGTCCGTAAGAAAGCACATCTGCTGGTTTTTCAAATGGTAGTTAGTGATGCTGCCCATAAGCCTTTAATGAAAAAGTCCAACCGAACTGCTCGGTTAATGTGGGGCTAAGCACGCTGGCAGTGGACCATTGATCAATGGAAACGAGTTCTCTGGAATCAAGTAACGAATCAAGATTCACCCTTTACCGTTCGGATGGCAGGGTCTGGGTCTGGCGTCTGTCTGGAGAACGCCTCCTGCCAGAATGCATTGTGTCCACACTATAGTTCGGTGGAGGTGGAATTATGATCTGAGGGTGTTTCTCATGGTATGGACTGAACCCTTGGTCCAAATTCATGGTAAACTGAACACCGGAAGCCACTGCACTATTTTGGATGACAGTGTGCTTCCTACATTGTGGCAGTTTATGGGTTGTACCCATGTTACTTTCAGGAGGACATCGTCTGCTGTCATGTTGCGAGGTCCACCATGGATTGGTATGAGGACAATGGGGTTAACCGAATGGATTGACCTGCCTAAAGCCCAGACCTGAACACTATCGAGAACCTCCAGGACGAATTGGATCTCCGAATTAAGAGGTGCAACAACCGTCTAATATCGGCGAAGGCAACTGACATATCTTCTCCAAGTCCAGTGGAAGAAATTCCAATAGCCGTCATGCAAGGACTTGTGGAAAGCACGCCCTGGAGGATTGAGGCTGTAATTGCCGCTCGTGGAGACTATACCAACTATTAAATTTGAATAAAATTTGTTTTTCTTTTTTTGTCACAGCTGTCCAAATACTTATTGGTACATAGTGTATATTTCTGTTTCTTTTAATTGAGTTATAGAGTTATCTGAAATGAATACCTTCTATATTCTGCAAGGTGGAATTACCAAAGTAAATCTAGATAAACGTATTGTGATATCCGATTTACATAATCAACTAGTATTATGCTAACCCAAAGGGAAATTTCATCGGTCTTTGAAAATATTTTAAACTTTGTAACGCTATAAAACAAATTGCCTTATCATAATGTTAATATGTAAGACGTTAAATTGTTGGTATTTATATATTATCGCAACCACCTCAGTGCAGTTTGGCGAATTTTATGGAAGAAAGAGAACCTACATATTATTACATACATAGCCTATGTTTCTATTATATATTTATGCCAAAGGCAAATAAATGTAATTGTCCTCTTTCTTCCATTAAATTCGCCAAACTGCGCTGAGGTGGTTGCAGTAATATATAAATACCAACAATTTAACGTCTTACATATTAAAATTATGATAAGCCTAGTCACAAACGGGCTTTTGTTTTTGTTGTGAAAATTTCGTAGCGTTTGCTTTGAGAAAGAATTCGAAACATTATTTCTTTAGCGATTTGGCGGCAAATAATATAGTCCTGCAGAAATTTCACCTTTCTTTCTTCTGTTACAGGAAAATCTTACAAGCGCGCATTTTAAAATCGTGTTTAAGAAAAAAAAAAAAAAATAATAATCTTAATTTTTATATAAAAGCTGTTGGAACTTGGAATACAACAAGAAGGTAAATTGCGACTTTGGAAACTAAATGTCATGTGCGTGGTTGCCTGAATAATTGTTATGCTCGTGGTTGCCAGGGTTTGGTGTATTCTGAAGCTTTGGCGATTTTTGCGAAAGTGGTTGCGATAATACGTTTAAGTACAAAATTGTTAGCAGGTTTATGTATGTAACTGCAATAAAAATAAATTTACGTTTATCATTTGAATACAGCACCATTTTCATATCTTAAAATTTTCTCTGAAAGAGATTCATTAAGAATAAAAATTTCCTGTATTCATATTCTGAAGTCTTGACATAAGTACAATCATATCTTTAAAATAAAGTAAAATCATATCTTAAAAAATATTCAAGTAAAATTATATCTTTAAAAAATTTAATATCATTTGAGCATAAACTGTATAAAATTACTTCATTAATATGCTTTTGAAACTTGCATAAAACGTTTAGACACTATTTTCGCCATTCTCGATTGGGGCAACAATTTCGTCGTCCATTATGTGCAAAAAAAGAGTCCAGTACATAACATTAAGCACGGCGAATGTCACTGGGAATACTATGCGGGCGTAGCTGTCAACTTTACTGGCTATATGCCTGTTTTTATAAACTTTCTTTAAAGAAAGTTTGCCTCCAGTAAAAGGCCTACGTCTTAAAGAGAACTTTTGGTTCTGCATCAATTGTTGCAGTTGCATTTGTTGTTGTAGAAGATGCTCCTCAGAACTTTTTTTCCGGCTATCTTTCCCAACGGTTCTTTGAAATCGTACTGACGTGAAACCACCAGCTGTTTCTTTTACTGGAGAAGTATCCTAAAAAAAGAAATATCATAAAATATTAAAAACAACCCTATGGTTTCTAATAGACTAAGCCAGCGGTTCTCAACCGGTGGTACGCGTACTACTGGTGGTATGCAAAGAAACAAAGTATGTTTAAATATTAAATTCAAAATTTTTGGGAAGAGAAAGAAAAATTGATGGACATTTCCTGTGATTAAACTCTAACTGAAGATTTCAAAAATAACACACTTGTTAACTTTTTGCTGAACTCGAAAAAGGAATTTAAAGGCGTTTCAAACAAAGCTGTTAAATTTTTATTGCCTTTTTGCACAAACCTATTTGTGTGAGCAAGTATTTTCTTCCACATTTTCTATTTGAAAAAGAACTACAGAATAAAATTAAAATTGAATCCTAATTGACTGTTAAAGTTAAGTGAAATAAGACCAGATATAAAGAAATTGATCTCTCTTAAACAGGCCCAAATTTCACACTAAATTTTAGAATTAAAGTATTATAACTTACATTTTGATAATTAAAATGGTAACCAGTTTTTAATCTAATATTTTTATGTGTGTACATTTAATACAAATATCCCATAGGTTGTGCAAACGACAATATATATTAAATTAGTATTATCTTACTTTGCAGCTATTGCGCAAGTATTAGAAAAACTTATTTTCGAACTCAGTGAATTTTAGATCATTCAATATATATATATATTTATATTGAGAAACAGAAAAATAATCATTGTAAAATGTGGTGGTGATAAGAAAGTTTTTCAGTTCTTGTTTAGATGGTACGAGTTAGTCAAAAGGTTGAGAACCGCTGTACTAGGCTGTTATATAATGTAAGAAGCTTGGATATACTAATGCATTTAATTAACAAAAATATTACTATAAAAATAACTTGAATGAAAAGAAGTAAAACTATCTATTTCGCAAGCATTATACTATGCATTGCAGGAGTTCACTTCTTCCTCCATAATAAATTTTTTACTCAGAATATTCAGGACTAATTTCACAATTTAAAAATACAAGCACTGAATTTGATTATTGGAATACGTTAAAGCACTCGATTATTCGCTTAATGGAAAGAAAGCCACTCTCAAAAACTTTCTGATAACAAAAGAGGAAAATAAAAGAAGGCTTGGTTTGATTTATTTGACTATAACAAAGCAAAAAGGGGCTACCTGTTTAAGAGGAGAGAGGCTTTAGTGGAGAACTTTCTATGGGAAACTGGCTCGTATCCACATTATACATGAGGAAAACCAAGAAAACTGCCATGCAGCGAGCCCGTTCACTTGGAATAGAATAAAAAGAAGGGGGGAAAAAAGAAAGGACGGTTTGATGAATTGATTTTAACAAAATAATAAAAGATTGAATGTTATTTACCTCAGAAAGAATGATTTTGTAGGGGAGTTTTTAACAGAAATTCTCATTTTACGTTTCATACGGAGAAACCATGAAAACCTTAATGCATTTCGCATCTTTTGCTGATCACTGTATAAGGTATTCCCCCCCCCCTTCTTAGGATGCTTTCGTGGTGTAATGGTCAGCAGTCCCGGCGAGGGCAATGCTCATTTTTCAAGTCTCCTGCTTCGAAATAACCTAATGTCTCTACAGTGGCGCCCGAACTAAAAAAGGTGGTGGACGAGGATTCTCCACCACCAGGATTTGGCGATTGGGTCTCCTAATCCCCGGTCGCCCTTTAAAAGAGGGAGTATATAAGGTATTTCTCCCGCCTTCTTAGCATGCCTTCGTTTTGTAATGGTCAGCATGCTCGGCGCGTATTCGAGAGGTCCGCGGCCGAAGTTCCGGCGAGGGCATTGCTCATTTTTCAAGTATCCTGCTTCGAAATAACCTAATGTCTCTACAACTGAATCCGGAATTGACGACCAATGTCCAGTGATTATATTCAGTCTACTAGTGGTGGTAGAATGGATATATATATCTACAGTACAAATAATTAAATCAACAGCACTGAACTTAAAACAATTGAGAATCTATGTAATTAAGTAATAAAATCGAAACAAACGTGATATTTAACTCTGAAGTAAAATTTTTATAACGGGCTGGGAGAATTCTATGGAATTTAGAAAAAAGAACAAAGCCGTGCAAAGTTTTTGTGGAAAGATGCATATTTTTTTCCCCTTTAATGTATTAGTCATTGCGTTTAGAATCGTAAATTAATTTTTTTGAAGATTATTTTGCAAATTGTAAAATTTGCAACTATAGGATAGTTCTGTTACGTATGTCATAAAGAATAAATTCGATAAAATAGAACGCAATCGATCACTTCCATCAGTAATTTTATGACCATATTCATTATTTCGATAATTCATACTATAATATTTCCTGTTACTTCTAATTCTAATAACTCTTAACTCACTATATTTTGCTAGTTTCTTTAATCCACACTGCCGTTTTTACACTTCAGGCGTACTAATTAAACTATTTTAGATTATTATTTTTTAATAGCTAAATAATTACACTGTAACCTCGAAGACTGTTTTCTTTCATGGACAATTTTCAATGTGGGAAATGAGCAATTATTTGCTGTGAATAAACATAACGAATAAATTCCTCACGGCCAACTCTTTTTTTCTTCTGAGCCAGTTACCAATGTTTAATAGTTTTGCTCGGGATTTCACCATTCACTTTAAATTGCATTTTATGTCTACTCATCTTCAGAAATCTGATTGTTAATTTTATTCTGAAGGGAAAGGCTACGTTTTCCCTTTAAGGTCAAAAGAGAAACATTTTTATCAATGTTTAATCCATTTATCTTAACAATATTTTTGTATCATATTATATCTACTAAGATTAACTAATACAAATGCTAGTCTTACCAGAGTTGGATTATCTTGTAGGGTTCTGCTGCATATAAAAGCTTGTGTTAATACTAAACTGGAAAGGAATTATCGCTTTAATCTGGAAAAAATAACCGAAGTTATATCTAAATGAGTCGATGTACAAAACACAGAACTCCATTCCATAGATTCAAGAAACCGAGCTGAAATACTACAGAAAAATCGATTTCAGATATATTTGTAAAATTTTACTGCTTAAATATTTCTAGTTTAAAATGGACTGCAAGCCGCTTTTTATACAAATAACAGATAGATATTAAAAAAACCTCGGCTTTTGGGGTAACTATGTGCAAAATAAAATTTTCAAATATATGGTTAACTGCTTTAATTCACAAAAGCATGGATCTTAAAAGTGACATGTGGTGCGAAATATTTAAGCCAAAAGATTATGTACATCAATATTTTTAAGTGATTTTAATTTCCGTCACTTTAGGCAAAACAACGGGAATAATTGCAACAGTTGAGATTCTTGTATGGGTGTACAATTTTATACTGGCAATAAAATTTGTTACTGTTTTATCATGTATTTAATATTTAAAAGAAAAAATAAAATACAGTTATCTCTTAAATTATATGTTTAGCGCACTCTCCTGGGAGATTACTGATGTTATGAAAGTTATGAAACTTAAACATATGGTTTTTATTTTGAATAAAATATATGGTTTTGCTATAATTCATGGACTATTTGTGAAGTAAAGGGATGCTGCTATAATTTTGACTTATACTGTGGTGCGGAGAATTTTGACAATACTTCTGAAACTTCGAATGAACCGCTTGGAACACGAGTGATGAAAAAAAATATAAAAGATATCCGAAGACATATCGCGGTTGCGTACCTCAGACTGGGAACAAATTCAAAGAAAAGCATTGAAAGGTATTTGGTGATATCATCGAGACCAAAAAGATAGGCTCTGTACGTTTAGATAGAAAAGACCAAAGGTAAAGATGAAACCAAAGAAGGTAAAAGACGAAACCAAAAAAGATGCCAACTTGAAAAATGTAAGGGAAGTCCTATTATGTTTTGTACAAAATGCGATGTAACACTTTGTGTGAAATGTTTCCCGTTATATCATACTTAAATATTGCAAATTTTCTCAATAAATATATAACAAAGGAAGTTTAGATCAGTAAAATAAGTTTTCTTTCTTTTAAATCTTTTTAGTTAGATTTAATTTCGCAAAAATATCATATTTTTTTAACTAAATTCGTAATTTTGTAAACATAAGATCAGAGGGCAGTTACTTATTCTTTTATTACCAGAAGCGCCCAGCGATCTATTTATATATTACCTATTATCTGAATTGTTAATTATGGTAATTGAATAAAACTTCATAATTACTTTATTTACGATATATGAAATATAATTAAAAATATTTTTCAAAAATTTTTATTTTAAAATAATTTGGCGTTAACTGGTTAAACGGCATTTTTAATTATTATTATAAGGTTTGAATGTGTTGTGTAGATAACTGTTTGATAACCTTTAGATACCGAGATGGAAACAGAACAAATGGTTAAGAAGAACAAATTTTATACTACCTCAAATGAACCAAATTTTATACTCCCTCATGTTTAACTAGGAATAGCAAAATAATTACAGAGAAATTACTCTAGTTTATATAAGACTAACAAGTTATTAATTATTTATAGAACATTAACTTGGAAAAAGACTATTCCGGATAATCAACCATATGGGCTAATAAAGCTATCCCTCCCCGAAAAAAAAAAAGTCTACCCTCCCGCTTCCAATGTAGAATCTTAACAGGCATTCTTCACTGCAGCTGATTTTATTTTTAAAAACTGAAGTTAATCCTTAAGTTAATCCGAAGAAACACTAATAATGAATTCTAAAGTCGATATAACGAAACAAATTGCAAATGAGCAAGCATTATCAAAAGGTAAAGAATTTACTGCAAAAAGCACTAAATAACAACTACTATGTGTTAACAACTTGCTTGCACACGCCATCAGATTAAATTCCTAAACTATAAATAACAGAGAAAACAATTACCGCTGGCTCCGCGATTGATCCTATAGCATCTTCTTTCTTTTTCTTTTCCCTATCGAGTTCCATTTGCTTCTTAATTTGTAGTTTTTCGTAGTTATCAATGAAATTAACAAAAGCGTACTCCACTAAAGCTGCAAATACAAATGTAAAACACATAACGACGAACCAGTCGATTGCAGTGGCAGAGAAAACTTTCTCTCTTCCTCGACCGCCGAAGCCCATTGTTACCATCGTTAAAACCGTAGTAGCACCTTGAACAGAGGTTAAACATGTCAGTCCTTTTACAAGACATAAAAAGGTTTCACTCTAAAAACATTAAAAATATGAAATAAGTATGAATTCTAAAATGCATGAAGATATATTCTAATTTTATATGACAGCTTTCTTCAGAACATAAAAAAAATTAACGTCTAATAAAAACGACTGCCAATGTTTAATATTAAAATTACAAAGATTTTTTGTTTGCTTTTTTTCGGAATATCAGGTCTCATAGTTTTTCATGGCTTAGAGCTTGTAAATGTATTTCAATGAATCTATCCCATAATCCTGAAAAGTTCAAAGTAATAATGATTAGAAGGTCATCTAGAAAACGAGTTCGCGAAATACCTTGTTTCTCTGATTCTAAGACGTACTTTTTGTTTTTTTCAAATAAACATCTCTAATTAAAAGAAAAATTTTAAAATTTTTTATAAAATAAGCTTTGTTTAAAAAATATAAAATAGTAATAAATAAAAGCTTGTTCGCTAAATAGCAAAATCTCTTAATCGAACTATATTGCCAAAATTATAAGCCATTATTTTTATACATTTATGAAGAGCGTCTCACGCCCTTATTATTTGTGATATAAAATTGAAGATAAATTTTGTAAAGAAACTACTTAATCTCTTCTCTTATTCCCATTAAACTATAGGATAAATTATTTTTCTCCTTTTAATTCTTTAATTATTGACTTTAAATAAAAGCTTATTTTATAAAATTTTATTTTCATCTTTTTAATCTCAATAACACTTTGTAAGGTATATTTTAAATTTATAACAGTTATTTTAAATTTATTTCCTATCCTTCCTAGCTTCAGCTTACAACTTTCTACCAGAATGAGTTTTTAGAATTGCTTTAAGTGCAAATGAGAAGTAAGTCAAGTTCCACTGACTTCGCCCGAGAGAGTTAGGATTCCTGAACAGCGCGCGTTTGCCTTTGGGCTACATCTCTTTGAAAAGGGCCGACTGTTAAATCTTTTTTGAGCAAAATAAAGGGTAATTAATCCTTCTTGGGTTTACGTTTCTGTTCTTGGACTTAAGCGATTATTAGCTTAGTTCACTAGGTTCCTCGACATTACTTTTAACAAGATAAATGTGAGGAACTCTACAGCGTTAGACAACAAAGTATTCAACTGAAAAATAATTTGTATTTCATGTATTCAGACAATTTGCACTTTATTTAAAAAGTTACGAGATCGTAATTTTAATTTGAAAGATGAAGGCTGTAGCAGCTGCCATTGATGGGCACTGAAGAAATCTGTATTCATTATAATTACAGATTTCTTCAATGCTATGTTTGATGAAAATATACTATTCATAAATTGGCGAATGCTTTAAACATTCTTCAAATAATAACAGTGTATAAACTCCTCGGAAAACTCGGCTGCATTACTCACTTTGGTATCCGCCGGAAACATCGCAACAAAATCATCGCGGACGAAAACGTTGCGGGGAAAACAATGCTACGTGAGAATATCATGGGAGAAAAGGAAGGAGAAAATATTGCTGTTATAAAACAACGCAGTCGAAAATAAAATGTTTCAAAAGCATAGCTGTTTTAAAACATCCTGGTAGAAAATATCGTGGTAAAAAAATAAAGTACCTATAAATCATCGCATGACGATGACTTCATGGATATGTGTTTCTCAGGCTTTAAAAACTGAAATGTATATTCGTTTAATGATTTCTGAGGTTAAGAAGGAATGGCCACTTTATTTCATATGTAAATGAAATTAACTAATAATTTTTTTGATAAAAAGGCAAGAAGGAAACTTAGCATTGAAAAACTGTGAAATGAGAGAAAATTAATGTTACCACGCATAACAGTTAATAGAATTTTAAACTTATGTAGCTATCTGTTAAAGATTAATTTTTAATTAACTTCTTTTATAAAGTTGCATTGATAGTTTTTCATGAAACATAGTCTGAAAATGATTATAAAAGGAAAGATGTGAAACTGCATGACGTTATCCACATTAAGATTATTTTATTAATTATCAAACTCTTAAATTATTTTCTTTTACTTTGTTCATCTGATATTCTTTTAGTAAAAATTAAACCTTGTTGAACATTTTGCCCCTTCTGAAATACACTTCTCTGCTGAAATGCCTTCCACTGATAAAGCGATAAAGTCTCTGAACACAGGTAATTCGATCCAACGAATGAGTTGGTTGCATGAGATTATTGTGGTTTTCCTAATGAATAAAGTGGATACAGTGTCCTTAAGAATTCCGCATTAATGACTGGCGACCGTTGCCGAAATTTTTGCCAACGGCCAGAAATTAACTACTTAGATTTATATACTTTTGATTTCAAAAATATTAAAAATTACGACAAAACAACAGGCTTAAATTTTAACGCTATTTAATTAATTCACTGGGAATTTAACATCTTGAAAGGAGTTACTACTCACAATCAACTACACAGAATTAAAAAAAATGTACTGAAGTTAATTACATACTGGAAGAAATCCTACTTTCCATTAATTCATAAATAGAAAATAAAATTCCAAAATATTACATTAAAATTTCTCTGAAAAAAAGGAAAAGGACATTAACTACCAAATGAAATCTCTGGTTTTATGTTGCAAAATGATTTTATTATTTTAAATCGAAAGTAGAATAATGCAGGGAGGTAAATAAAATTAGAGACTTGTTAATGTGTAAATAATGCCCTGTTTCATGTACACCTTTTGTAAGAGAATTCTGACTCTTTCTTTTACTATCAATCTAATTTAGCTTCCCACAATGTTTATATTTGTCCCACAATGTTTATGTTTGGGTATAGACTATTGATTTTAAACTTGCTATTTTCGTTTTCCATAATTTTTTGTCAGAATTTAAATGTACATATTCAGTTTTTAACGTTTAAAGTTAGCGTTGATAAATTTTTTACCATCTTAGTGGTCTTTTCCCATGCTTCACTATTTACTTTTTGGCAAGCCTAATTTTTGCTATTAGCATAGTAATCTTGTTCTTGAAGATTCCTCTTTCTTTCTTTCTGTCGTCAAATTTCTCGCTTACGCCATTATTTCGACAACCTACGGATTGTTTTAATTCAAAGTACATTGTCTAGTTTGACTATTTCGGCATTTGAAAGATTTTCATAAGAAATGACCACTCCATACCTTCAGCGCTCCACGTTTGGAAAGCTGCAATACTGCGCCATTTTCATTTTGGTTCCAAGGTTTTTGTCACTTTTACTTTGTTCAGAAATTCTAGTAAGTTTTTTCTGTTGCTTTATTTTAATTTATAAAGAAGTTTCTCGTTTTTTTCACTTTTATAATGTAGGTTTGAGTGGCATTTTAACGTTTTTCATATTATTCTGAAAAATTCGTTTTACATGACTGTTAGCAATGCGGCAAAATTTGCTACGGAAAAAGATTTTGAAATTTTACGGTTAAATTGACTGTTGTATTTTCTCTGTAAACTGATGTGTAGAGAACCAGATTTTTATTTTACATTTTTGCTTTGTTTGTAATTTCAATTTGTTCAAAAATGTATTGCAGTATTTTGTTTTTATTCTGTAGGCTGAAATCGCGTTAGGATATTTACTTCGCTCTTTGAGAATGTGCAAAAATGTAATTGTATAAAAGCTGTTTTTATTCTTTTTTATGTTTGTATTATACAATTATTATATTATTATTTTTATTTAGAGATCTGACTTTTCAAATAAAATTTATGATTTATAGAGATTTATAATTTTAATTGTCTTCAGTTTGTAAGGATCTTAAGTTTTACTAACGTTTATTTTATTTTAAATCTTTACTATCACTTCTTATTTTCTACTTCCGGCCAGAATTAAAAGCTTTAACTTATTTATGCAAATTTGTCTTGCGAACGCCAAGTACTTAAGTTGTGGCTTTTTGCCAAGCGAGAGAGAGGAAGGAGCTATTAGAAGCAGGCCGCTTGCCATAGTAGTTTTACTCGGTTGCTGGTTTGCCTTCAAGGCCAGAGGTTTTAATCCTCTTGATAATTTTAAAACGTATCGTAGTGTTAGCAGTTCTCTGTACTACATACGGCTTTTTGCTAATATAACGGCCAATCTTGGAGTAGGCACTTGTTTGATTAATCCAAAGTTAAGTTTAGTTAATATTTTTATATTCTTACGTTCAGATCACAAGTGGTTGGTCTCTGTATTCCGAAGTCCGGAAATCATTGTAAAGAGAGAAAAATAAAGGGTTTCGTATACCCTTCCTGTGATATTGTCTACTTCCCAAATTTATTGAACATAGCTTTAGTAAGCTCCCTGTTCCGAGTCAGGACATTTAATGTTCCCAAAGCAAGTAAGGAGGAACACAGAACCTGATAGTGGCGCCCGACGAAGAAGAATAACCATGGCCGAGTTTCAAGAAGAACCTGTGCTGCCTGCAGAAGCGGCTCAGAATCCAGAAATGCCAGCTGCCGCCCTGGAAGGATTTGGTTACATCGTCCAGACCATGCGCGCATCGATGAAACCAGAAGCAACATTTGACGGAAACTCACCGGTAACCAAGTTTTTTGGAAAAATTGGATGACCACTTCATGCTATATCCAGTGCATGAGTTCCAGAAAGTCACCTTAGCTACCAGCGCTTTGAGGGGCCAAGCGCTTAATTGGTTCAAATGTATAGGCAGAAAGCCTCTTGGGTCAAGTGGGAAGTCCCACCTATACTTACGAAAATTTCAAGACCGCCTTAGTAAAAGCCTTCCCTGTCGTAAGAAATCGTGCCAAATTAGAAGCGGAACTTTTCAGCATATACCAGAAAACGAATTGAAAATCTCCCAAGCTTTATTTTAAGAAAAATTCACGTCTTTCAAACTCTTGTATGGGAAACCGGCCGGATCCTGAAGATAATTCAAGTGATTTTGCCGAGGTTACTTCCCCAAGTACAAGACTTTATTGAATTAAGGAATCCGACTACACTGGAAAAGTTATTTGAGCTAGCAATCCAGTTTGAAAGTAGAAGAACGGCGGACATTGAAAGAAGACGCCAGTATGAGCAACGAAGCCAAT